GCGAAGACTGTAACAACTAAATGTAGTAAGCCATATTTGAATGTAGAGCGAACAGACTGTAAATGTGTCTGTATTTAATCGCAATACAAAATGTCTATGTTTAAGAGTAGACTAGTGCAAACTCCCGTCGCTTTGCTGACGGTTTACGATAATGTGCTCATTTAACAGATAGTATTACCATTTGATAGACCTGTCAGACGTTCAGTAACTTTTTACCGTTATCCGTGTACTGTATGCTGTACAAAAGTACAGTACTGTTAATTGTACGGGCGGGGCATTTGATAACGTACCCATTTGTTAATAATTAATAGTTAGTATTACCATTCGACATTATATATATCCCGTTAATAGCCGGGCACTACTGAGTATATTCACAGCTATGCTTGTAGAATACTACTTTTCAATAATGCATTCACGGATGAAACCTTATTACAGTCTTTGATAGTAATTCGGCAATTATAATATCTGCTCTACATATCCTAATGTGAAGAATAATGCTACTGGACAGATTAAAATTATATTGTTGCTATCGAGTCAATATCACCTAATCTTCCTATTCGATGTAATTGGCGATGATGATAGTTTCTCCTACGATTACCTGCTGGCTGATTTTGATCTCTAGGAGTACTATCTACTTCAGAATTCCTGATATTACTTACAGATTGATTTAATGTACGTACTGATCGTGCATTTCCACGTTGTTCACTTCGCTTTCGCCTATCAGATCGCTGACTAACTGACATTATCCTCTTAGAAACACTTTTTGTTATATGATATATAGCAATCAAAAATAACCGGGACAGGGGAACTACAGTAGGGTAACACTACGAATTGCATGAGAGCAATAGAACTAATAGTACCTCCTGATGTGTATCAATTACTTCTACCTTCTCAATAATATTGACATAAACCCTAGAGATCATTCATTTCTATACCAATTCAAATTTCGTTAAGTAACTTTCGTATTAGTATGTTTACCGAATAAGGATGGTTACTATATACAGTATTAATGCTATGTTAAGGTTGATAAGCGAAATTGTCAAATATACGTTTATGGTCAATTTGTTAATAAAATTAACAGATAGTATTATCATTCGATATTATATATATCCCTGTAATAGTAATGTACTATGCTATATTATGATTAGTTAATAGTCCAAAGCACATTACGATAATTAATGTACGGTGATGGACATACCAAGTTAAGATTAGCAGGTACTGTAAGATATCTACAGTGCGGTTCAATGTCCTTAGTACTGTGGTCAATTCTATACCAATCATTATAATGTGTCTAAGGATCGCTGTCGTATGCAAGCAAAGCTTGCTCTGTCGATAACAACCGTTATAAGAAAATGTAACAATCAAAATGGCTGTGTAGAAAACTCTATAAAGATTCTATGTTTATTCAATTTTCATCAGAATATTACATGAAATCAAAATTTAAAGGCCCAGTGGCCACCCTTAGCGATATAACGAATACTATTTTAATAATCAGTACTCTGCAGAGCTTACTACCTTAGAGCTATTCGTTTTACATGAAGAAATCTTTAGGTAAAAAGTACTGTAAGAGTCTTATACTGACCCATTGAAATGAACCCATAATCAAAGTCATTTAACAGTAGTGTAAATACCCCAGCGCTGCTCATTTCAAGGGTGGGTGGGAGGGATTAGTATTTCCTTAATTAATTAAATCAAAATTACATATGTGAGGCATAAATACAAGATCTATTTATAGCCTACTTGATGCTAAAAGGATAACGGCATAAAGTAAAACTGAGGCCAAATTAATATCACCTTGAGAAAGCTCTTGTTACTCATAATAGGTCAATCTATATCTGATGAACATCATATTTGTTCAAAGTGCTAATTATAATTACGGCTTAAAAGTTAGCGATGAAAACTTGCAAAAAAGATCATTATTTAAAT